CTGTCCTTTCTCCTCTTCCATTCTAGCCCCTCCAGGGTCTGTCCTCTTTCAAGCAGCTGCTTCTGTTATTCTCATCTCTTCCATTCCTCTCCTTTTCCATGAAGCCCCATCCCCTCAAAAAGCTCTTCTTCCAAAAGCTGCTTCCAGTTTACCCTAGTCGATGGATGCTGTGCATTTTGAAACTTTGTCATATCATAAAGAAAGGGAAGTTTTCTTTCCCATGGCTGCCGTTCTGGGTATTGGTGGGCCTGAGGGCAGCACCTCCTGGGCACCTGAATCCTGCTGGAGCGCTGGGAGAGAGCGGGGTGGAGGGAGAGGGCTTGGGTGAACTTGAAGACTGACCAAGGAAAAAGCATTTCCCTTAACTGGCTTGTAAAATAAATCAAGCATAGAAACAAAGATGAAAACAGAGCACAAAAAACAACTCTTTTATTCTCTCAATATTTTCTTAGCTCCGTGTCAGCTGGTAGTCTCTCTGAGTCAGGGACCTTTCCCATCTCTGACTGTGAGAACACATCCAACTTTGAGACTCTTCCCTGTGTGCCTGGCAGTAGCTGCCACACTGTGTGTTATTTAAGAAGCTCCATTTGGCTCCATGCTCTACAGAGGAGAGGAACATATGGCCTTGACTGTTAAAAATATTCATGAGTCATGTTGCCCAGTGTTGAAGTACAGCCACCTCAAGGGCAATTTTCCAACAGCTCATATTGGTTTACAACATGGAATGAGGACCAGATGAAGTTCCAGGAGGTATTCAGAGGAGACAGAATGCGGTGACGCAAGTTAGAATTTGGTCACTATGCTGGGTTGCATGTCCCTTCTGGAAAGAGGCATGGAGTGTTAGTAGAATATCAGAGTGAGGGATCCCACTCTCTGGTTCCATTTATAGAGCCCGTGTTCTGCTAAATCCTTCTGAAGAAAGAACTTGGGTAGACTTGGAAGTGAGGGTTACTCCATGCATGGACTCTCCAGTGACTTTCTTCTTCTTCTGTGACCACAAAGAGCTCACCTTGCCTCATGGCATTTGCTTGGTCCAGAATACCACATACGTTAACTCCCATTAACTTATGCTAATAGAAGATTCCTCCAGGGATAAGTGTTTCTGATTTTTAAAAAGCAAAATAAAAAATTAGTTATGGCCTTTTAGGGAACTTCAGAAAAAGTTCAGATTGTGGATTTTTGTTATTGTTTTGGTGGTTGCTTTCATTTTAACATTTCTGAAGTTTCTGCAGAAATGGTCTTGAGCATGTTTGGCTTCCTGGGGACATTTTATATGATTTGTCAAACACCGATATTAAAGAAGCACAGTCAGAACAATGGGGCTGGGGGATAAAATGACTTAGCTCTCAGATGGTCTAAGACTAGACAGGTGGGACGTCTATAATAGTTTCATGATTTCGAATACAATGTACTGTTTGCCCTCTATCCTTTTTTTCTATTGTAAATTAATCATTAGAGGGCTCTATCTGAAACACTTTTTTTCCTCACTGTGTATCCTGTTTCAACCTGCCCCATGCGGGCGACTGCACCTGACTGTAATTTGGGGAACACAAATTGCAGTGGTTCAGCACTTTGTGACTCCTGTAATAAGTTAATGTCACTCCCATCTCTGACACAATTCAATTCAGAAAAGTTGCGATGTATCATTAATGCATTAAAAAATGTTGTGTTTTTAGACTGAATACCTGGAATTAATTGGGGGCCTGACAAGCCAAAACAGGCTTTTTTTTCTTTTTTTTGTTCTTTTTTTTTTTTTTTACAGTGCTTGGGAGCCCTGAGAAAGCAATTCTTGTTTAAGCATCTGCATTATCAGAGAAGCCCAAGTACTTCAAAGGTCTGTGCAGGATGCTCAAAATAGGCACCTTGCCAAACAGAAATTGAAACACATATACATACTATACTATTTGCCTTACTGAAATTAATTTTCAGCCAGCAGCACATAGGATTATTTAATATTTATCTTTATCAGCAGGAAGATGAATCTATTATTTTTGAGTTGATTTTGTTATTTTACCTGAGTGTTTCAGTCAGTCTTTACAGTAGGAGGCACTTATGGTCTCCCCTATGCCCTGCCTGTTAACCTCTTTTTTAGTTATTATTATTTTTTAAGTATTCAGAAGCAGTAGAAAGGTTCATTTTTTTTAACCACTTGATTTCCCCCATTGGTTCCCTGGGAAGAAATGATTAGCTCCTTTCAGTGTTCTGAGTAAATGTTAAGATCCAGGGTCCTACCAGTCGAATAGACCCTTTGGTGGTAGTAGCTATTGAGGAAACATTTCTGGATTGCAAGTAAGGAAACTGAATTCTAGAGCCTCTCTTCACCTTTGTGACCTGAGCTCTCTTCACTTTTCCCCGAGCCTGTCCCTCATCACCTCTACCTAACTACGTAGGGTAAAGTCAACAGTCCCTACCAGAACTTTCCCCTAGCGCTTTATCATCCTGAAATGCCACCAGGCCCTACAGTTCCCCCTTCTGTTGCTGAGGTCCCAGAGGGTTGTGTGCTATGTTGATTGTTTGTGCCTGGGAAATTAAAGCACCGAGAAAGGAATATGTCACTATGTTGAATAACAAAATGACTGATAGAGTATCAGGGGGACTTAAGTGTATAAAAAGCCACAATATTGCAAAGTACCTTGTAGATGGGAACTGTTAAATATCAATGGAGCATTGCTGTGTCTGCACCGTCAGCGCTTTCCTGTGACCACAGTGAGAGAGATGCTAAAATGTCATTTCATGGACCACATTATGTGCTGCTTACGATGAATATTCCGGCCATGGTTTATTACATTTTTGATAAATTGTAACTTCTTGGACCCAAATTTGGTTAGCTTATCTCTAGTGCCATTTAAATCTTAAAAGACTGAATTTGCCCCAAAGATTTAATCATCATTCAGCAGCGGTCTGTAACCATGTGGTACTAATTTAAATTACTGTAGCAATGGACAAGTCTCTATCCAGAAATTAATAAATGCAATTTATAAGGAATGTTAAGTAACAACTAACAATTTAATGCTTTGTGAGTTTCAGCCAAACTGATTAAATAATTAAAACAGATTTCTAGGGATAGGGGAAGAGATTTTACCATAAAAGAGATAAACAGTTTGGGAATTGTATGCATTCTTTTAGACATTTAAGATAATTAAATCCAAAACCTATGTTAAAATAACACTGAAGGTCTGGTTTAAATCAGTAGTGGGAATTGCTAAGCTAAGAGTTGAATACCATCCTCAATGTCTGCTCCATTGTTTTAAATAAGGCATTTGGGGACTCTCAGAGCACTGGGTCACTTTATATAGAGTATGCTATTGGTAGAACAATATTGGTCTCAAGCACAAATAAATGTATCAAATGGAACTACCTTCTTGCCATGATGTTTTTAGGTTTTTACGAAGTGAAACTAGATGGTTAGAATCACCTCAGAGCTATTGAACCAACCTAAAACTATTGGTTTTCAAGTTCTTCTTTGTTGAAAAAAAGATAAGGAATTTAAAGATTATAGCTGTTTGGATTGAATGTGTAATAAGCAAAATATATACTTTTATGGACTTAAAATAATTCATTTTTGCAACAAATTGTTGAGTGCACATGTACAGTACAGGTATGTCTGTGATACAAAGATTAATAAATAAGGAATGGAAATGCTTTGTTTTGTGATGAATAATAAGTTTTAGGCAGCAAAACAGATGGGTAGTCCCCTTGATAGAAACGACTATAGATTACTATCGCATATACTCCTTGTAAGGATAATGTTTTTAAAGTGATTTGCATGAAGGGCTCAAAAAGTGCCCATCATTCATCCTTTGCATTGTGTCTGTAGTCCACCAGCCCTAGTGGAGAAGGACTATCAAACCACTTGTGTGAGGACCTCCTGTCTTCACTGTGTGAAAGGTGGATGGTGTTTACAAGATGGAGTGGAAATGTGAAAATCGTTTGAAAACCATCTTTTTGGGCAGTGTATAGCTAGTGACCACTAACTGGTTGAATTTTCACTGAGCTGATCAGCTCTTTGGGGGTTAAGTAGGTGCCATTTGAATGTTTTATTGCCTAATAGGTTTGAAATTCATTACCTACCAAATTGTACTTACCTCACTTTCCTGCAAATGTACTTTTCCTCGTGTGATAACCAATTGCCCTGGTATGCCTGGGACTGAGAGGCTTCCCAGGATGTAGATCTCTTAGCACTAAATCTGGAAAGGCCCTCGCATACCCAGAGAAGTTGATCACCCTGAATTTTGCCTTTTTCTCTTGTCTCCTCTGTCCTCATTAATCATACTTACCCGATCATTCTGGAATTTTCCAGTTCTTTTTCCACATTCAGATTTTTACTGAGTTCCATCAAATCTTTCATCTCTCCTCTTCTCCAGACTCCTTGTTATTGCCTTGCCTCAAGTGATGTCATGATGTTCCTGAACTATTGAAACAACTGCTAAACTGAACACCCTGCCTCTAGACTTGCTCTCACCCCAATCTCCCCATGACCCAGCTGCCAGTGATATTGTAAGATGTCTATTCACTTTGTTAAGCCTTCAGTGATACTCATTGCACGAGATCCCAATTTATATACATGAGATAAAAAAGACTCTCCATCATATGGTTCCTGGCCACACCTCCAGGCTCACCTCCATCCATATCTCCTCTTGAACTCAATTCTCTGGCCATTTGGATATCCACTTGGAGTTTCATGGGGGCAGAATACTAATTCACACTTGTGCACCTTTGGGTATAATATTTCCTCTTTTTAAAATGTCCTTCCCAGTCCCTTTTTCAGCTCAGAAACAACTAATTATTTTTCAAGTCCCAGTTCAAGCATCACATTCCTTTATGAAATCCTCCTACCCCCAAATTAAAAAGTAGAAGTGCCTAGTATATTTATCATGGACCTAAAATACATTTTACAGTTATTGATTGAGTTGTTAGTCTTCTGTTATCGATTATATATTTTAGTGTAGGAACATGTGTTGTGGTGAAGGAAAACTGATTTTATTAATATTTATTTTTAGGCTTTGATATTGGGTCTGACACATCACAGACCCTGAAATGCTGGTGGAGTGAATGAGGAGTCTCTCACGCTGCACCGTGGGAACTATACTGAGACAGCAGTGCAATGTGTGTGGTGAGTCTCCAGGCACTTTGATAATGCTCTTCTCATATCACCTGGTTGAAACTTTTAGTATTTATTTACCTGCTTATCATTTCACTATGATGTCATCTATTTGCTCATAGAGTAACTTCCAGAAGCACATTGTATGTCCACAAGTTAGGAGAGGTACCATTTTATATTGGTTTTTCCCCTTATGTTGTATTTGTTTTGATTCTAACAAATCACTGTTGACTGCCTATCCAACATGCATCTCCCCACCCCCTGACTTAGCCTTCTAAACAGAATCCTGTGTATTCCAGGGTAGCCTTTCTTCTGCAAGACTGTGTACGTCTGAAAAGGTTGCTTTTCTTCCCAAGGGGTGGCTCCTAATTAGTCTAAGGCAATCGTAGTGCCCATGTATCTAAAGCTACCTAAAGATAGCTTGAAGTTCTTGTGATACAATTCTGGCCCATGAGATGGAAGGCAAGTCTGTTGGAGACCTTTTGGAAAGGTTCCCTCTTACAACAAAGGTGAAAGGGAGAAATGGTTTCTTGTTCTTCGGATGTCATTCTATCTATATGTGACACCTAAAACTACTGTGCTATCTTGTGACATTGAGGGAAGCCAGCCTTTGGATGAAACCAACACTAAGACCAACATAGCAGAAAAATAGAAGGAACCCAATTCTGGATGTCATTTTGGAGTCTCTGATCCTGCCCTAGCCAGAGCCCTCAGTGTCCTCCTTCTAGACTTGTAATTATGCTGCATGTGGTTGAAGGTCTCAAAACTTACATAGACAAGTTTAGTTTTGTATCTGAGAGGGCCAGGGGCATTTGTTTAATACATACAATATGGTACTTTGAAGGTAAGGATAAACATGAGTGAAGTATACTCAAAGAGGGAAGCCAAAATGACCACCTGAGAAGATTCCAATTCTACCGCTTATCAGAAACTACTTTGAATGAATCAGTCAATGAAAGAAGATTCTGTTCGAGAAATTAGAATAAATGCTTACAAGGAACACAAACTCTAAGCAGTCATAACCTTTTTCTTTGTGAACCAATGATCTCATTATAGAGCTGGAGGAGTGACCTAAATTTCTATAAGATACAGAAGAAAATAATGGATATTATGGTAATGATAATGATCTAACATTTTATTGAGCAGTTCAGTTACTATGTACCAGGCACCATTTTAAGTCCTTCCCAAGAACTTTTATTTGCATCAGCTCTATTTCCTCTTTCAGATATTTTCCTTACTGACCACTTCACAGCCTGTAAATACTTACATGCCTCTATACTTATATAAGTCTCTCCTACTCTATGAACCAGAGAGAGAGAGAGAGAAAAGAAAACCACTATCTTTCCTGACTGCTTTCCTCTCAAGATACCACCTTATTTCTCTTTACAAACTTTAACAAGTTTTTTTCATTAATAAGCTTCATTCTTTTTTAAAATTTTTTCAGTTTGCTTGTTTGTTTATTGATTGATTGATTGAGAGAGACGGAGCATGAGCATGGGGCAGAGAGAGAGGGAGACACAAAATCTCAATCAGGCTTCAGGCTCTGCACTGTCAGTGCGGAACCTGATGTAGGACTCGAACTCATGAACTGTGAGATCATGACCTGAGCCAAAGTCAGATGCTTAACCAACTGAGCTACCCAGGTGCCCCTAAACTTTATTCTTTAGAGCTGTTTTAAGTTCACAAGACAATTGAAGCAGAAAGTACAAAGCTCCCATATATCCCTACCCTCACACCTACACAGCTTCTCCCACTGTCCGTATCCCCCACCATAGTTTTTCTACAATCAGTGAATCTATATTAACACATTACTATCACCCAAGTCCATAGTTTGCATTAGGGCTCACTCTTGGTGCTGTACATTCCGTATTTGGCAAATGTAGAATGAGCTATATCTCCCGTTATAATAGATACAGAAGAGTTTCACTGCTCTAAAAGCCTCCTGTGCTCTGCCTATCCTTCCCTCCAATCTGCTTCTCTGAGTTTTTCAAAAAAATAAATAAATGGCATCTTCTTCTACAAGTCTTTTATTTTTCATGTCGTATTCATTCTTTGATCGACAGCACTTACTTTCATTCCCCTCATTTTTCTGAAACTGTCAGCAGAAAAGTCACTGTGGACCATGGTACTGACAGCTCAGTGGCTGTAGCCCCTCCTAGTTACCTCTGCTGCCCTCTTTCCTTCACAGCATCATCCATCCAGTCGGCCCAAACCAGAAACCTCAACCTTCACTTATTTCTCACCCTTCTTCCCCTCTCCCTTGTTAATTTTATCGTTCTGTCTCCAAAATTTTATTGCATAAGTTTCTCCCAAGAGAAACAACTTTTCCTGCCTCAACCCAGGCTTCCACCTCCTCTCCTCTAGATGGCTGTAAAATCTCTGAGCGTATTCTCATGTCAACCTCTACCCTACAGTGCAAGTTAGAGTAACTTTCTAAAACGTCATGGTCTCCCTGGCACTCCCTGTTTGAAACACTTGAATAGTGTCTCTTTCCTGCAGAATAGCATCTGAACTCCTGGGCTCGGCTGTAAATGTGTCCCCAATCATGCAGTGGTGCTCCTTCCCAGGGCCTCCTCCAGCTGCTCTCTCTTCTACTTTCACTGGGGTAGCCTGGCCCTGAGCATGTGTACCTTGACTGCCCCTTGACCTTGCATAGTCTGTTCTCTCGGTGTAGAGTCCCCTCTCTCTCTTGTCCAGGTACTGAATTTCTACTACTGCTGAGGCACATTACAAATGTTTTCTGCCTTCTCTCAGTCTTTTCATGGAACATCATGAACATCATGGAACATCATGTTGTCATATTTGCCCATTTGCTTGTTCCTTTCTCTTAAATGTGAGCTTTTGATACAAGGAACTCTGTCTAGTTCACCTCAATATCTCCAGTACCTGCCATAGTGTCTAGTAGTTAATAAAGTTTTGTTGTATTAAGGCTATTGCAGTAGAGTACATAGAGTGTGATGGGAGCTCTGAGAGGAAGCAGCTGGCAAGGGGCTTTCATTCCTTCAGTCAGTCAGTCAGTCAGTCATTCAACAAATGTGGGCAGAATATGTACTATGATACAAGCATTCTTCTAGGTATTGTACATAGTGAACAAACAGAAGAATGTCTTACACTCGTGAAAGATAACATTTTGTTTTATTTTATTTTGTTATTTTTTAATTTTGGAGGGGGAGAGAAAGAGCATGTGCAAGCAGGGCAGAAGGGCAGAGGGAGAGAGAGAGAGAATCTGAAGTAGACTCCACACTCAGTGCGGAGCATGGGACTCAGTCTCACGACCCCGGGATCATGACCTGAGTTGATATCAGGAGTCTGATGATCAACCAACTGAGCCACTCAGGCATTCCGATAACATTCTATTTTAGTAGGAAAAGACAGACATACTGAGTTTGGTAAAGGATCAGTATCATGAATGAATGAAAGGGATAAGACAGAAGTATAAGGTGTAAGGAGTGGTAAGGACCATTGATAAACTGAGTAGTCCATGACCCACTCAAAGACACTTAAATTCACATTAAAACATCAATAACAGCAGCTGTGCATGACCTGGCCACTGAATACATTGGGGGGCCACTGCTAGCCAGTAGACTACCCCTTTGTGATCCTTGTGGCAGAGGCATCTTTGTTCCAGATCTTGTTCCTTGAAAAAGCAGGGAGAGGCAATGGGTCCTTGAATGCTGACAGAAGCCCTTATTAATTTTACTCCAGTCTACGTTGATAACAGAACCTCACTTTGTCTTATCCTCTTTATCCTATGCTTATAGCTTAATGATGTTTTTTTCAGCAAACACAGATTGTCCTGAGGAAGTAGTCCACTTGTATTCCTTGGAACGGATACCCTTGTACTTGGAGATCAAAATCCCAACAATGAGAGCGCCGAGGAGCAAAAAAAAAAAAAAAAAAATTCATGGGCTTTCTCATTGAGAGAGAGGAAAAAAACACAGGATTTTCATTGAGAAGTTTGGGGTGTATTTAAAACAACTTCTGCAAGCATCATTTTTAAGGGACACAGAAGTGTTTGCCATTAGTACTTGTGGGTGTGATGAGATGGCAGAAAAATAAACTTCATAATATTTTAAAGTTGAAAAGGCACTTGAGGGTAACTCTAAATTAACCCTTTCATTTTACAGACAGGGAAACTGAAGCTCAGTAATTAGTAACTTACCCAAAATTGTGCACCTGGGATATATTAACACAGTGTTAACAGTTGACCATCTACCTCTGCCCTGTGTTAGCAGCCAAGGGTTTCAGGCAGTGGAGATAGAGTGAAGGCTCTGACCAGAAAATTTTAGGTTTCTTTCCAAATTTCCATGATCTAAATGGCCAGTGTCTAATGGGGAAGGGACCTATGATAAAGGTAGCTGGAGATGGATTATAGTTGACAGGAAGATATAAGGATGGTGTATGAAATGTGTTTAACTCCAGCTAGAAAACTAAAGCAAGAGGTTTGCAGAATCATAAAAGTTCTGATAGTATGTGGGAGAATAATACTGTTTATCTATTAAATTGTTCATTCAGCCAATTTATCTATTAAGTTATCCACTCATTCATTCACTCATTCACTCAGAAATGCTGGACCGTACTATTACTTACTCTGAGCTAAGAGCTGAGGAGGACATAATATAACAGGATGCTCCTCCCTTCCTGGGCTCAAAGAGCTAGCAGTCCCACAGAGAAGCCAGATGTGCAGGGAAATCATCACAAAGCTCTGTGCCATGTAAACGTGTATGTTGTTCCAGAAGAAAGGGAAAGCCCACCTGGATGCTGAAGGCAGTTTGCCCCAAGTCAAGTGCTGTGTGAAAAATACTATTGCACTCAGTGTTATATGGAAACCAATCTGACAATAAACTATGTTTAAAAAAAAAAAAAAGTACTATCGCACCCTCCCTGGTCATCGTCACAATGCCGCCTGGGCACTAATACAGTCTGAAGGATCTTTCTACCCCAAGCAAAATTAACCTGCTTTGAAGATATCATGAAGGGGTTTTCTGCTTGTTTTGAAGTTACAATACTTG